AAGAGCAAGAAGTGATTTAAAGATGAAAATGTACCAGTGAGAGAGTCTGCGTGAAGTTAATGATGTCCAGTTAACCAGTGAATACAGGGTGCAGTGGTGGGTACGATAATCACAGCCAGTTATGAATCTTAGTGTACCATGATAGACAGCATCCAACATCTGCAGGGTTCTTGTAGGAGTGTTCATGTAAATAATGTCACCGTAATCAATGGGGGGAAGGAAAGTGACCGATACAAGGTGTTTCCTAGCATTCAGGGTTAGACAGGATCTGTTTCTGAAAAGAAACCCAGTTTAACTTTCAGTTTCTTTACCAAGTTTTCCACATGGAGCTTAAAAGAGAGATGTGAGTCGACCAAGATACCAAAATATTTATAGGAATCAACAAACTCAATAGGGACACAATTTGAGGATAAAATCGGAGGAAGAACTGCTGGGACCGACTTCCTGATTAAAAAAGGATCCCTTTGGTTTTATCAGACTTTAAGACGAGTTTGAGGTGGAACAAATCTGACTAAATGATGTCAAAGGTGGATTGCAAAAGCTGGAAAGCCTTATCAACTGTTTTAGCTCGACAATAAACAACTGTGTCATCAGCATAGAAATGTATGGATGCATCAGGGATGGTCTGACCTACATTATCTATGTAGATTGTAAAGAGGGTGGGTTCTAAGACTGAGCCTTGTGGTACACCATTGTTGACTGTTAAATAACTGGAGGAAGTACCATTATGTTGAACATATTGCCTCCGATCTGAGAGATAGTTACAGAACCATCCAATGGTGTGATCTGAGAAACCGATTTCTGAGAGTTTATGACACAAGATGTTCTGATCCACAGTATCAAAAGCTTTAGACAGGTCTAAGAAAAGTGCAGCACAATAATCCTTAGCATCCAGTGCTTCAATTATGTCATTAAGAACCTTCAGTGAAGCAGTGGTTGTGCTGTGTTGTTTCCTGAAACCAGATTGATGTGGAGGTAAGATGTTAAATGAGTCCAGGTCATTTTTGGTTTGAGAGTTTATCAGTTTTTCTACAACCTTGGCTAAAATGCAGAGTTTAGAGATTGGTCCATAGTTGTTCAGTGAGGTGGGGTCACCTCCCTTCAGCAAAGGAAGAACAAAGGCTGTTTTCCAAGTGTCTGGGATGGAGTTTTGTCTTATGGAGAGATTGAAGATGTGGGTCACAGGGACTGTGATGATATGAGCAGCCAGCCTTAAGAAATAAGGTGGAAGTTCATCTGGACCTGCAGATTTTTTAGGGTCAAGATCTATTAACAGTTTATTGACCTCACTGACTGAGAATGGAGGAAAAAGAGAAGCTGTGATTAACTGAGGATTGACTTGTAGGAGGGATTTGATTTGTAGAAGTTTGGTTATTAAGTGAAGTGGCTGATCTTCCATTAGTAACTGTGTCAAATAAAGAACTAGAAGCAACAAAATGTTTGTTGAAACAGTTCAGGATCTCGTGTTTATTTGACACAGGAACAGAGTTAATGAGAAGTTGTGATGGGAGGTCAGATGATTGGGGGGTGCCTGAGAGAGATTTGATGGTTTTCCAGAATCTGTTAGGGTCATTTAGATTTTTGGAGGTCTGAGATAGTTACGTTTTGCTGCTTTGATGGCAGTTGTGCATTTATTCCTCATCTGTATGATCCTCTGCGATGACTCCGCTCGCTCGTCGGTCATCAAACACAAAAAACGCCTGGACTTCAGAAACACGTGTTGTCATTATTGTTTTAAAATCTTTAAAATAGATCCATTTGCTGCTCCGAGTTCCAAGTAATTACAAATGGTGGATCGGTGAAAAGTTTCTGAGATCCAGTGACTCCTCCCCCTGACCAATCAAGTGACCGACAGTTTTCTGATGTCACGTTTAGGTGACGGCTCAGCTCGCTTGCTCTCACCAGAGAAGCAGGGACTAAAAAGGGGCCCAACTCAGTTAAAAAGTGACAGTGGAAAAGCGCTCAAAATGTTTCGAACTGAGCCGAGTTGGGGCTGAGTATGATCGGTGTAAAAGGGGCAATAGAGACAAACAACTTTCACTCTCTCACTCACACCTAAGGACAATTTAGAGTTACCAATCAGCCTAACATGCATCTTTTTGGTCTGTGGGAGGAAACCAGAGAACCTGGAGAAAACCCACACATGCAAAGAGAGAACATGCAAATTCCACCCAGAAAGGTTCCGGGCCGGGATTTGAACTGACAACCAACTTGCTTATATATATACATACATATATGAATGATCCCAATTAATGTTTTTCAGTTCAGTTCTCACCAGTATGATGCTGGAATTAATTTTAAGGAAGAGGAATATTGATTCATACCAGCTAGATAAGCCACACTCTGCGTGTTGACCTCAAACTTGTCACACTTGAGATGTTTGCTGGTCAGAGAAAGCAAGGTGTGCAGGATTCGCACAGTCCGCGCCACAGTGGTGGGTGATGGGTGCCTGTAACCTGCAAGGACAAAATGAGATGTCTCATCATTTACAAAATACTGAATCCAACCACCAACACATTCTGGTGGTCTACAAAACACTCCACCTGACTACCATAAAGGTCTGGTGATTGTTCACCAAACACTAAACAAAATCACGTTCTAGTAACTGTTACAAAACATGAACTTAACCATCACTATCACCATCGCTTCCAGGTGAGGTCCAGTAAAACAGTGAATACAGTTACATCATGTTCTGTCAGTTGTGTACAAACACTGAACCCAATCATCAACGACATACTGAAATTGATCAGCATCAGATTCTGGTATTTGTAACAAAACACTGAACTCTTTCACTATTACTTGCAGGTGATATCCAATAAAACACTGTGAACATAATTATAATCACATCCTAGTCATCATCTACAGAACCCTACACATGAAAATCCTCACTTCCTTGTGATTGTCCATAAAATACAAAACACATTCACCATTACATTTTGAATGACATCTACAAAACAAATCCCAATCACTGTCTGCTGATTGTCTACAAACTAATTAACTTAATCAGACTCACTTCCTAGTGATTATCTGCTAAACACTGTATCCATTTACCATCAAATTCCGGACTGAAACAATAAGAAATTCATAGAGCTGATCCTTTTGTCAGTGCTTAGGCAGTGACTCTATTTTTTTCAAATACTGAGTTGAATTTAGGAACATTACTTCAATAAATTAAGAATATATTTATTTGTGGTTTATGTAGAGGAACAGATTGTGTGGATTTATATTTTTGATATCATCAAATATGAAACATTTTCTTATCATACATGTATATGTGCTTTATTCTCTGACAGAAAATTTTTGTTTTCGCTTAAACACTTCACACCAAATGCTTTCCTAGATAACCTAATGCTAAATAAACCTGAGTTTTTGCTCAATAAATCTGAACTAATGGTAAACAAATATGAGCTAGTGCCAAATATATGTGAGCTAATGCTAAATAAAGATGAGATTATGCTAAAATAAAAGTGTGAATGCAAAAAAAAAAAAAAAAAAAACTGAGCTAATGCTAAATAAACCTGAACAAATGATAAAGTTGTGGTCATGCTAAACAAACCTGAGCTAGTGCTAAATAGATAACCAAATGCTAAATAAACCCAAGACAATACACTGCCTGGCCAAAAAAAAAGGTCACCCCCCCCAAAAACGGTCACACTAATATTTCATTGGGCCGCCTTTGCTTTGATTAAAACATGCATTATCTGTGTCATTGTTTCGATAAGCTTCTGCAATGTCACAAGATCTATTTCCATCCAGTGATGCATTAATTTTTCACCAAGATCTTGCATTGATGACTAGGCACTAGTAGAGCTGGGTGATATATCGATATTTTAAAAATGGCAATATAATTATTTTAAAGATATAAGTTGAAACCATATCAATATAAAACAATATATTTTTATACTTGAAAACACTCCTGCTGCCTTCTTTCTCCCACTCACCCCCCTCCTTCTCCCTCAATGAACACAAACCCAGCCCCTCAGCTGCTCTCCCCGCCTGCTCCTGCTTCTGCAGGAGGTGGGCGGAGACATTTAGCACAACAAGTAAACACAGCAGATATGAAGAGCAGCTTAGCTGTTGAGCAAAACGAAAAACAATTAAAGCTGCAAGCAGCATTGGAAGCCCTCGCAGCAAAGCGCCACTCTGGCCTTACGGCGACCGCGGGAACTCCAGCTAGTCCACCCATTCGTCATTGCGAACGCTCTCGTACCAATCCCGAACGCGTTCACCATGGGGCGCATTTCCCAAATGTTCAACATTGCCTTCCGTCCATGTCAGTACTTGTCCAGCTTCAGGTCTTACAAGTTATAGGCAAAATCCGACCTTCCAGACAAAAGTTACTATGACTTGCTGTTTTGTCGCAAATGTTTGACAAGTACTTCCTTTATGCTTTTCAACATGTCATGTGTGGTAATCAACAGTTAGCAAACAAAGTTTCAGTCTAATATCTTACACAGTGCGAAGCTGTAAGAGTCATCCAATAATCAATAGTTCTATTTCATATAGGCTTTGCCCTTTAAGGCTGTCGCTTAGTGGGTTTATCCCATCATGCGAAGCATTACACTGAAAAAATTTAGTCCACGCCCACCTGCTGTGTGGGCCCCACCTGGTCCGTATAAATTATGTTAAGAGCGGGTAATTGGCTCCCATTTTTCTTCAGTGAGCTAATAGCACTGTCAGAAGAACGAAAAAGGAAAGTTGTCTAGCTGACCAACCTTTGTTAAGACTGCCTGTGACCGCCACGTCAACCTCCTGTTGTCCTGGTGAGTTCTCCTTCCCGAGGAGAAGCAGAGGAACAGTTTTGTTTCAAGGTAAGCGCCGAGGAGTATTTCTCAGTGGCAGGTCGCTACATGCTGGATGACGCCATCTTGTAATTTTTTTCTTTTCGTCGACCCTCGGAGCGAATCGGATGGTTCCTCCGGGACAGGCGACGTCAGCAGCAGCCCCCCATTGCTCATTCCCTCCTGGAGAGCGCAGTGTTGGTAGAGGGGGGCTGAGCAAATGCTCCCCCCCCCCCCCCCCCACACACACACCTTGTTTTGCATCGGCGACCACACCGCTCCCAGCCGCCGGTGCCCTCCTCCGGAGTTTGCCCGGCATAATCCAGGAGGCGGATGACATGTAGGGACTTTTTTCCGTCCCTTGCCTCCCCCGCCAGTTCAGATGATCCAGTGGGAAGGTTTCTGGGCTCCACTCAGGCTCGCCATCCTGATCCCATCTGGCCTCGTTTTCCCAGCGGTGACGTCCTACTGGGACGAGGCTACAGCCGGTCCTAGTAGACTAGGGCGCCGGTTCCCACATCCGCGCCCATCACCAGAGTGGAGGGGTTTCACCGAGCAGAAATTCCCTCAGTACCCCCAGGAGCCGAGCCTTAACAGAGGCTTTTTTGGAACAAAGATGTCCAGGTTGGACCAGCATCCTGCGCCTCTGGATAGCATAAACAGACGGTGACGTTGCTCTCCAACTGAGCTCGCCAGCGTGTGTTCCAGGTGGCCGCAGCGAACAGCACGTTACGCTGGTGGCATACAACGTTCAGAGGTGGGAGGAGACGTATGCTCCCTCTGCAGGGCAGCTGACGTCATCCTCAACCGGTGCGCCTCTTTGTTGTCTGCCGGTCTTGCATCGCAGCCGGAGGACAAGGTTTCCCAGAGGTTCACCTGGCCCGTCACTCCACCCCCCTCTCGGAGGAGCTGCAGAAAGCTTTTTGCTGGAAGGTCCTCATCAACAAGGGATCACTTTCAAGACGTTCCACGGCTGCACAACGCCTCCCTGCTCTGCTACACCAGCCACGCCCGTCAGACATCCCCGGCATCCGGAAGTTCAGCTTTTCCTGGAGATCGCCAACAGGTGGCGCCCTAGGACAACAAACCGCAGAGCTCAGGGGAGATGACTCAATGATGGTTTGCTGGATGTGTTTGAAGATGACACGAATGTGGGGTCATAGGGATCGTTCAACGTAAAACTTTATACTTCCTGTTGTCAGGTTGTGTGGCTTAATTGATGTCATGATTTGACCATTCAGTCATGCATGGGACCGGATGTGGATCAATCACTGAAGGTTTGATGTCTCAGACAGTTTACATGTAGGAACTATTAGCATTTCGTTTTTCATGGCAAGATGTCAAACTTTGAGGTCTGGCCCCGCCCCTTCAGCATGCTCCGAAACAAACCCTTTAAATAACTTTTTGTCCCCCATGCCTTTTGAACAAAATGGCCAAGTTTGAAATCAATTGAGCGAAATCCCTAGGAGGAGTTCATTCTAATGCAAAGGCTGTAAACCTTCAAAAATGTGTGAAATTTGGATGGCATTTCAAAATGGCCACCTTCCTGTTTATCGTACAATGTTGGTGCCAGAGGGTTTTCTGTGCATCTTGGGGAATTGGACAAGTGTACCAAATTTCATGTTTCTACGACAAACTAAGGTTAATGCGGAGGGTATTTTGAATATTTCCAGGTGGCGCTCTTGAGCCGTTTCTGTTGCGATTTTTGCGATGCCCTTAAAATACGTAATTTTTCACCAGTCATGATGCATCTGCCAAATTTGGTGACTTTTGGGATATGTTAAGGCCTCCAAAAGGCCAATTCATTTGCCCAAAAAATTGCAGCTCGGGCCTGAACAGAGCGATTACAATAAATTGGCCTTCGCAGTGCTTTGCTGCAGTGCTTTGCTGCAGTGCTTTGCTGCAGTGCT